TAAGTCTCTAGAATCTCTTGAGTGGATGCTGAATATGGTGCATTTTATGATTGAGTTCTGGTTTTTTTTGTAAGAAATATTACCCTTGATAGACATCTGGGTTATTTTAGTTTTATATTTTGTTTTTAGAATGTTACTAGGTTGTACCATTACTCTAGACATAATTTATGCCCATTACTAAGGTTCAGTTTTTCTAATGTCCAACTTAATGCTCCCAGGAATCAGTATGTACCTCACTATTGATGGCAGGAACTTGAATGGTTCTCAGCCTTTTGTGGGTCTTTGAACCATTGTTCACAGCTGCTCAGTACCTTGTCAACCAGGCACATGGAATATTGTACTTTGCAGCCCTGTTTTAGGTGTGAGCATAGATTTAAGGGACTTCCCTAAACAAATTTCTGGAGTTCCCTTTCTGCAGAGCTGTCTTGTCTTAAGAAAATGACCTGAGTTTACAACCTTCTCACACACTCCATGTCTGATCTCAGTCTCCTCAACTCAGTTAGATAACTGTAACTGTTTGCGGTTCTTCCTTCCTAGCCCCTCTCTACTCCTCAAGAGCCTGAACTAATTTCCAGGCAAAAACTGGGTCTATCCCAGGCCTTACATTCTATTCTTTCACATAGCATGCATGTGGTTTAATGCTGAAAAACAGTTACTTCATTTATATTTTCCTTTTTTTAAAATTTTCATTAGTACATGTTTGCAGTACATAATGATTATATTCACTGTAGAGAATTAGTATATGTACATAACACATACACATTCCAATTCTTTTTTTCCCTTCCCTCCATGCCTCTTTTATTTTGCCAGTGTCAGGTTCATTTATTTATAAGACCTTATAAAGCTAATTATATGTACAGATTAAAAACCTGAATAGTAGGCCAAAAAACATGTAAGACAATTGTACTAAGTCAAGGTGCACTTTTAGATACCTTGTCCATGCTGGATTATAATAACATTTTTTTCTCTTTCTCTTTTTTTCCTATTATGTCTTTTATTTCATAATTATTTACATATTAAATTTTTCACTTAAGCTTGTGTGTCTGATTTATTTCACTTAACATTATGGTCTCAAGCTGCATCCCTTTTCCTACAAATGACTCAAATTAATCCTTTATGGCAGAGTAGTACTCCATGGTATATGGATACCACATTTTCTTATCCATTCATCTGTTGATGGACATATAGGGCTGTTTCCAAGATTTAGCTATTATAATTTGTTCTGCTGTAAATATGGGTATGTGTACATCTCTGTGGTATGATGTCTTTAACTCTTTTGGGAAGACACCTAGAAGGGGAATAGCTGGATTAAATGGAATTTCTATTTTTAGTTTTTTGAGGAATCTCCATACAGATTTCCACTGTGGTTGTTTTCTAATTGTTTGAGTTAAGAGGCTTAATTTTTTGTTTTGTTTTTATTTTGTCTTCCTGAGTTTATTGGGAATGTCAATAGTATCTATTTTTAATTTCATTTTTTATTAGTACTAGTTAGTCCTATATAAAGATTACATTCATTGTGGGAAGTAGGTACACATATATAACATGTCTTGATTATTTTTTTCTCTTTTTCCCTCCCTCACCCTCTCTCCATCTCTAGATTCTGTGCCTATTTATAAAAGATCTATCTTATTGGTTCTTATTGTCTATATTTTCTTTTGATCTTTATTTTTACTTTGAGTTTCTCATATAAGTGAAGTGATATGATATATAAGCTTGTATGTCTGATTTATTTCACTTAACATTGTAGTCTCAAGGTCCATCCATTGTCTTACAAATGTCTCATTTATCCTTTTTTGTCAGCGCATAAATAACAAATTTACTTCATTCATTTGCTGATGAACATATAGTCTGCTTCCATGATGTAGCTATTATGAATTGTGCTATTATAACCATGGTTATGCATGTATTACTGTACTATGATGTCTTTAACCCTTTCTTCAAGATATCTACAATGAGAATAGCTGGGTCAAATGGAATTTGTAGTTTAGTTTTTTGAGGAATCTCCTTGCTTATTTTTCTAGTGGTTTTACTAGTTTACATTCTCATCTACATTGTAAAAGGGTGCCTTTTCCCCTGAATCCTCATCAGCATTTGTTATTGTTTGATTTAATTAAGAAATGGGTTTGTATGAAATTTAAAAAGATTTTGCACAGCAAAGGAAATAACCAACAGAATGAGATCACTTACAAAATGGGGAAAAAATTTTGCCAGCTACTCCTCTAACAGAGAGCTGATATGTAGAATATGTAAAGAACTCAAACAAAATAGACCCCTCAAAATAAAAGGCCCAGTCAATAAATGGGAAACTGAAATGAATTGACACTTCTCAGAAGACACAGATGGCCAATAAATACATGAAAAAATGCTCAGCATCTCTGGCCATCAGAGAATTGCAAATTAAAACAACATTTAGTTTCATCTTATGCCACAAAGAATGGCTACCTGCCATCAGGAGGGTTATTTTAATACCTATTATTCAATTATGGCTCAAAGTAAAAGTCCTTCAAGTGACTGAAAATTATTGTAGTAGAGACACATAAGCTAAATACTGCACTAGTTATCAAGTGAGAGTACATTAGTAATCAAGTTGAAGCTTGATTTTAGAGAATGTTGAAATGATAATATACAGCATAAAAATTCATTTTCTTTAACATTTATAGAAACTGGGAAGTCAGTCTTTGCGTGAGAGAAAGAGAGTAAATTCTTACATATTTTAGGATGCTTAGTAGTCATTAATTACAATTCCAGCATGGAGTTGGCAGTATAGAGTTAGTCATGAGAGTCACCCACATAATGGTAAATGGATTGTGTCAAAGGTAGCATGTTCACATTGACAGTCAGAACTCACAGTACTAATGTACTAAATATAATTGAGGGCCATTCTCAAATGCAGACTACAAGGCTCTATTCACCCTATTCTTTTTTTTCTCTTAATACTTAAACACTGAAACATTTAAAAAAAATTTCAGATCATTTTCTATACTACTGCATGTTTGTAAATATATAATGTTTGCATTCCTTGTGTGGAGGTGGTGCATATACGTAACACATTTTTTCATCCCCTTTTCTTCCCCTCCCTCCTCCCTTCCCCCTTCTCTTGATCTCCTTGCCCTTTGAGAAAGATCTAACTCCCTATTTCTTATTATCTCTCTTTTATTTTGTACTTTATCTAACACTTCTTGTGTTTACATTTTAACCAGTGTATTTCTGTCCAGGAAATAAAATGTCAACTACAAAATAAAATGTTTACCCTTGAAAATAACTATGATCTTTCTGATAATATTTGTAACATGAGAGCAAATATAAAACAATATGATTTGTATGTATTATATAACTGACCTTGACCTGTACTAGCAAGAAAGAGAACTTACATTAGATTATATGAAGAAGCTAATATTTTACATACACATACCTCAATTTTGTTGTTTTAATTTTCAGTGTTTGAAAGTGTGCAATATCTCAGACTGTAGGAATTTTTAGAAAAAATTATCAGCTTTCCTTCCTTTAATCCTAGCGTGAATAATTTATAAAAGAATCATTTAAATGTTACTAAACTGCAATAACACAAGGCAGCATTATAATCTTTGTTTCTAATGATATCTTACTCTTTTTTGTAAATTGAATTGTTATATTTTGTTAATTGAATTGTCCCTTATTATAAAGACATATGGGTTATATGAGGATCTACTTTGAAGTGAAACTTTAATAATGCCAGATGTAATCATAAACAACTTTATTTGAAACAGTTTTGTGTTCCTTGGTGGTCCTTGATTTTAGAAGCTTCTGGATTAAAATGCATAGTGAGTAAATTTTCATTCATGTTTGATTTATATGCTGTTAGAACTTCCACCACCTTAATATTTAATTTAGAAATGTCATTTAAAATGATTTTGAAAATCAGTTGCATTTATTATGTTAATAGCTGTAATATTTTAAATGACTGTCTTCACATAAATATGTAATTGTACTAACGAAGTGTATCAATTAGCCAATGTTAAACAATGGTCATCAATGTCACAGAGTATAACCTTGTTGAAATTTTAGTTTCAAATTAGTGGCTTGTTTAGATCAATAGTTACTACAGACAATGATGCTTGGCAAAATATACAACTTAATAAATATTTCTAAATGAATTTTTAAGCTCTTAAACCTAAATCTGTAAGCTCTAAAGTACTTGGAAGTAAGTTTCATTGAGTTTAATTAAGCAGTTTAATTAACAGTCCTTGAGCAACATAGGAGTCTTTTGTTAAAGGAATAAATAAATGAGATTGAGAATAAAATTTCAGCAGTTACCTGTAATTGGCAATCATTGATGAACACTGGCTACATGTGTTTTTTTTTTAACTAACATAGTATTGATTGAATTAAATAGCATCTACAGAATTAATTCTGGTGAAATCTCTTTTTTTCAAAATTGTGCTAATGTTAAATTTTTTTATGGAACTTCTGATTTCAATACCCTTTTTTTCTTTTCCACAGCCTATAATGCAATCAGTTGTTGGGTTCTGATATTGAAATAGATTAATATGTATATTTATTATAGAAAATGTAGAAATAAAAATGCATGTACTCAAAAAGTAAATAGAAGTGACTTTGCAGTGTTCCATCTATCATCAGACTTTAGCTAAGCTGATTTTTTTGTCACTGTTGTTCATGTAAAAATGCTGCTTATTCTTTGTACTTTCGCTTGCAAAAATTATTATACTTAAAAATAAAAATAATTACAAAATGTTTAGTCATTATTCAGGTATGAATTCTGGATAAATAAGTCAAGAATTTATTTAAAACTCTAGATTAAGTAATTATGAATATTTTCTACTGCATTTAGCCATGCAATGGGTACCTTTTATGTTATGCAATTTTCTTCTCAAGAAAATCAGTAACAGGAATTTGAGATTTCTGAAGTATAATACTGAAAAATATTAAAAGCCAGTGATATCTATTGAATATAATTACTTGCTTTCTCATTGTTTGTGGGTTTTTTTGTTTATTTGTTTAAGGATTAAAACAAGGTGAGCCAACCATGACTGGCAAAACACAGACCAGCAACGTTACCAATAAGAATGATCCCAAATCCATCAACTCCCGTGTTTTCATCGGCAATTTAAATACAGCCATCGTCAAGAAAGTTGACATTGAAGCCATTTTTTCAAAGTACGGGAAAATAGTTGGATGCTCAGTTCACAAAGGTTACGCATTCGTACAGTACATGAGCGAGCGACATGCGAGAGCTGCAGTGGCTGGAGAAAATTCCAGGATCATCGCAGGCCAACCGCTTGGTAAGCCATGCTCTGCTGTGAATTTCACAGTATTGTTTTACTCTCTACACATAGCTGCATATGATTTCACTTTTCAAAAGCCAGCAGCACAATGGTACCTATCTCTTCTTTAACCAATTATAGTGTTTGAATGTTTCTAATTTACATTTTTTTCTTGTTCTCATATTGCTTTACTTGTAGACAACACACATTCGCTACAAGTTTATAACTGTGAGATCAGGACTGCTTTGTAATACTGATTACTTCCACAAGTCCCAGCAGAGCCAGGCAAATGATAAATATTATTCACATTTAACTTTATTTAACTTGAAATGGTATGTATCTTCCAAGACACAGTATGTTAACCAAAATAACTTTGGGGGGGGTATATTTATAGGATTTATTGAGAGGCTAAGTCATTTTTTTCTACTTTTTATTTTTGGGGTAGAAAGGAAGTAATGTAAAAGGAGGTACATTTTTAAAATAGGAAAAGAATAGAATTCACTCATGTAGTTAGGGATCTTGAATACCATCCTTGTTCAGACACATGCAATAATCAGATTTGTACCAAATGTCCAAAGAATAAGATTGTATTTTTTCAAAGAAAAAAATGAATGTAGTTTGAAGTAAAATTAAAAGAAAATGAGAAAATATTTTTAATTATTGTACAGATAAAAATAAAAATTAGATTTTAATGAGATGTTTTTCTATGTGCAGAAAAATGCAATTAAGATATCAATGATTTCTTAATATATCTTTTGCCCTGTGCAGTTTTGTATTTCAAACTAACTATATAACATGAACTGCTGAATATATGACAGGTATCTCCCAGCAAAACTCTTGATTTTCCACACTACCAACATGTTTCACCTTTAAACTTCTCTCTCACAATTAATGAAACTCTTATTTATACAGTTTTTAAAATAAAAATCTAGGTATCACCTCTGATTTGTCTTTTCACCCTCCATCCCAAATATAATCCATCATCAAATTGTCTTATCAATGTATCTAAACCTAATCACCTTCTAATGTCCTGAGGGCCATCTCATGTGTGCCTCCATTTTATATCAGAGGACTGTTGAGCAAATTTCCCAACTCTTCCCTTTGCATTCTGGCCAGAATGCCTTGTTTTAAACATAAGGTAGAATACGTCATTAACCTGTTTTGAAACCTTTAAGACTTTTATATACAGAATATGAATTACATTCTACAGCAAATCTATGGTACCCAACAATGCCCTACACTGTCATATCGTTCAGCTTCTCTCCCTTCTTTTGTACCACTCATATAATGCTGGTCACCTTTAATGTGCCTCAAGCATTCCAAAATTATTCCTACTTTAGAGGTTTTGACTGGCTATTCCCTGTGGTAATTAGTTGCTCTTTGCTTTACCAGATTCTATTCTCAAAATTTACCTCCAGAGAGGCTCTTCCTGAATGACCTATCTAAAATAGTTTCCTATTCCTTTGCCTTCTGTGTACATTGTGTTACTCTGTTAAAAATATTTTCACAGTCCATATTACTTTCTGGATTATATATGTTAATTTGTTATTGCCTTTGTCATATCTACAAACTAAAGCCCAAGAAGCATGTGAAAGAATTATTGGGAAATCAAGTTAGAAGAGAGTTACCAACTTCTATAAGATAGTTAAGAAAAATGTTTGAGAAGGTATGAAATCCATTAAAGTATGAGTGAAATCGAAGGTAATAGTGTTGAGGAAAATAAATGTTTCATATAAGTTTCTGCACCCAAAAGAGTGATTACATACAAACTAAAGCTTTTATTTACATTTCTCCCTCTCATTTTTTTTTTGTACTTTAAAGAAAGGGAGTGCTCTGCAGTAGACATTGTGTGTTTTCAACTTTTGCTTTTTTGTTTTCCTTGATGTCTCCATTTTGCTAGGGCGGTTTTCTTTTTTTTTCTTTTTTTAAATTTCAAAATAGATTTTATTGCAGCCAAAACAGTAGAATTAATTGTACATAATAAACTATTTTATATATATACACATTTTAAGTTATAGGGAATAAAGTTTATTTTAGCAGATAATGTTAAACAAAATTAAAGTTGCATCCATTAGTAACATAACTCAACATCCTTAATTTGGTATAAGTATAACACATGTTCTTGCTTTCCTGTGTTCTGCTAAATCATCATACCTAAACTGTTTTATAAAATTGATATGCTGAAATTTAACTTTACTGTTTTCACTTATGCGCTGATTCCAAACAAAACTCTTCATAAGCTTCTTCAGTCTCTGGGTCCATCTCATCATCAGTATCATCCAAGAATGGATCACCAGTGCTAGGGGGATTTTCTAGCTTTTCCTCTTTATTTTCCTTTCTAAGTTGAAATTCTTATTTCAGAGACCCATTTCAGCCAATTTCAGGGAAAACTACACTTATGTCAAAATGCATTTACTTATTTGAGCTTTGAAAAATTGATCGTAAACATAAGGTCAATTAAAAGTTTGATTCACTTTTAAATGAATTATAGCCACATTTCTGTGGTCCTGTTCACTGTTACTATTCAGCTGATCACTATCTTTTTATAGAAGAATGTAATAGAGAAAAAGAAATATTCATACTAAAAATTTAGTGCCTTGCATGAACAAATCTAAAAGAAAAACATGATAACACTGTATTGCTTTACTTGGAGAGACACAGAGTTATATTGTAGCTATAATAAGGTACCATTTTTCATACTAAGGCATTCTTCTTGGAACCTTTCTTAGTTTTTTCTTCAGGATAATCTCTGGAGCATATATTTTAGAAAGCCATAATCACACCTTGTGATGAAATCCAAGTCAAAGACTTTATTCTTTTAGTTCCAACCCAGCTTATCCCTTTTTCTGTCTAATCTGAGTGATTTTTCATAAAAAGCAAGTGTTTTACAATTTAACCAATAACTGCTTTTCAGCTCCAGTGCCTGAATATACCCAGCTTTTCTTAAACCACATCACTAGAAATCCAGGCAAAGACCTGTCTTTCAACTTTTCCCTATAGGAATTTCCTCACTCAGTCAAATACTGAAAAAAAAACCTTTACTTTCCAAATGGTATGTGCACTTTGTGCTTTAAGTACTACACATTTGTTTTAGTGACTTGGGAATAATTTAGATTCAAGTAAATCAGTCACTTGCCTTTTGGATTTTTTGACTCTCAAATAAACCCTTTATGATTTCCAGCCCCCAGAAAATGATGAATACCCTTTATGTGAAGTGAGTTGATCATGGGTAAAAAATAGATATCACATGGAACTGATATTAGCTTCATGTACTACAACCTATGTTAGTATTCTCCTTTCTCTTTGGGGTGAGAAAGAATTAATATTAAACCATGCCCTGGGTTAGTACTTTACCTACATTTATTTTATTTTATTTTAAATAGTCCATATTCATGTATCATCTTCTGAAAGAACAACTTTTTCATTTTCACTATGTGTTTAAAAATCTTTCTATATAAATTAGTGGTTAAACATCAGTGCTACTAGGAAAAACTCAACATTCTAATATGAGTCCTTATAGTTGTATGAAATGTACAGATATAACATTAAAATAAGATTAGGTTATACATGTGATGAAAGTATCACTTATAAAATGACAAATAATATTAATAGCTGTTTTGATGTTTCAAGTAAAGGAGCCATGAAAAGCTTTTCACCTATGGAATAAAGTGCTACAGTGTCTTTTAGTGTGAAAGAATAACTCAGAAGTCAGATGGACGGATAAATGTGATATCAAGCTAAAAACAAGGACATATATTAGAGTCTACCGAAAGAATTCAAGTTTCAAATGATAGAGGTAAAAGAGGGAAAATAAGGAAAAGGAGGGAAGGTCAGTGATCAATGATTTAATAACTAATTGGCAGAGAGAAAGGGAAGGAGGGATAAAGAGAGAGAGAAGAAGGAGAGAAAGAGGGGGAGATGAAAGAGAGGAGAGAGAGGGAGGGA